AGAAAAAGTATAGTTTATTTCAATTATCATCGACTTATACTTTTTATTTAAAAGTTTTTTATTACAATTAATTTGATCATAATTTTGCTTAAGACATATCTACAGTTAGCAGATTTCTTTGGGAGTTCAAAAGAACAAAGTTAGAATTTTCCTTTGTGTCCCAACAGGTACATATATGTGTATATTTACCATTGGGAAAATCAGTCATACTGCCAGCACTGCCCTGGATGTGGATCTTCTGCCAGATGAAATCACCATGACATACAAGCCACTCATTGCAGACTGCTCAGAAAAACCAGAGACTCCTGCAAAAGTCACTGTAACAGCAATGATTCCAGAAACCGAAGGAACATATAATTTGACATGGGAGGAAAATGGAAAAAAATCTGTAAAAAAAACAAGTACAACAGATACTTTTTTTTTTACTTTCTTAACAAAAAAACAACTCAATTATGGGCGTAAAATCACATAACATGTTAATCTATCTTTACTTTACAGGTTCAAGCCAATCCAAATATGAGTACAATGCTACTATCCAGTGTAACGATGAAACAAAAAAAATCCACGTTGTGAAAGTCAGGTTTGAAAACTCACTGAATCAATTCAAAGAAAAACAAGTTAATATCTCAATATTGCACGGTAAGGAATACGGTTTTCCATATTTCATTTGTTTGAAAATGTTGCCTTATAGTAATATAACATTTAGAACTGTGTAGCTTTAAAATATTTCCTTGCCAACGTTTCCAGATATTTGTTTTTAAATATTCCTCCTATTTTCACATCTTCTTAATTGTTTTCCCTCCAGGCCAAAAATCATGTGACTTGGAAACTGAAGATGGAGTGGAATGGCCTAAAACTCCCCCTGAGACAATAGTGCAAAATCCAAAATGTCCTGCAGGCCGGATTGGATTTAGGAGCCGTACCTGTAATGCTAACGCAAAGTGGGAGGATGTTATATCCAAGTGTATCAGTGAGGAACTTGGAAAAGTTGCAAATGCAGCTGAAGTGAGTTCGGCTATAATGTTGCAGGACACAATTTAATGAAAGAGATTTTTCAGATGCTTTGCATGGATTTATGCTGTGTTAGCTGACGCATATAACAATTAAAATCCAATTATTTCCCGCTGTTCAGCACTACTGAGAATTATTTATAAAACAAGGGTACTTCATCATAATGTTGGAGGATGTGTTTTGTTTTTGTTTTTTCATGCAGTTGCACTTTTTGCACATATTTTGCCTCTTTATTTCTATTTTTTTTGTGCAGAACTTTCGGAATGGACTCGGAGCTACTCCAGAGGTGGCTAAATCCATATTTGAAGGGATTAAGAACACCTCTTCTTCAGCTAGCTCTGGTAGTTCTGTTGATGATTTAGCTGACATTGGTGCTTCCATCAACATCTTTGGGGTTATGAAAGATGCATCGAAAAACATTGAACTGGGAGAAGAAATGTTGAATGTAAGTAGATTTAGTTTTTGTGTTCCAATACACAATTTGGAACTTTTGAAACCCATGTATTTGGAAGTTAAAGGTCATCAGGCTTTGTTCGTTGATTAATACAATTAAATACTGTGGAACGAATTTAATCATTGTTGAAAGCATTCAACCAAAACTATATTTGTTCCTTAAATTGTATAAATATTTTAATAGAAATGACAAAATTAGTACTTATCCCGAAATGCATACATTAAAATGTTTGATTTATATCTGATATGTCTAAAATAGATGCAAACTGCATCACGATCACGACCACTGCAAAAACAATCTAGAAATAAGTCAACACTTCTTAAATTAAGTGTATTTACCCTCATTTTGTGCAGGTAAATAAGATGATCTGCCAATGAAATCTGTGTTTTTACTCTTAAAATAAGATAATTAGATAATATGCACTTGAAATGAGACAATGTTATTGTTTTTTATTATTTTAAATGTAAACTGTCTTGTTCAATTGGCAAAGTTTCTCACTTTCCTACCCAATTCAAGAAAAAATACACTTATTTTAAGAAAAAAAATGACTTAGTTAGATTTACATTTATGACAGTGTGATAAAATCATCTTAGATATGTAAAGACTGTAGAGATATCTTTCTGTCATATCTAATTGTCACTGAAATAAAGCACAGTTAGTTTTTATGCTATAGTAAAACATAATAAATATAACTCAACATGTGATCATACTCTTTCTTTTGTTGTTTTTCTTCGAACTACTTTCCAGGACGTAGTTGAAGCAGCAAGCAATATGGTGAATGCTTCCTGGGATAGCCTACCTGAAGAAAATATTCTTGAGATGTCCTCTCAGTACCTAACTAATGTGGAGGGTTTGGTCAAGGAAATCAAGATCAACAACAGTGAGGGATTAAACAGTTCAAACCTGGAGCTCAGATTCTGCTCAAGTGATGACTGCAGCATATCTATTTTTGGCGTTGGTGTGAATATGAACAAGACCAATGGAACAGTGAAGACCATGGCAGTGAAAAATCTGATGAATAAATTGAAAAGCAGAGAATTCCCCAAGAAAAACCACAGCAGCCTTGTGCTTTCAGCCACGCTTGTGGACAGCAATGATTCAGATATAAATATCCAAATATTCTTTCCTGATGAGCAACCATCTGCCACAGAACGGATATGTGTTTTCTGGGACAATGATGCGAAAGACTGGTCGAGTGAAGGCTGTGTTGCAAACATCACAGATGACAACCAAACACTTTGTATATGCAACCATCTCACTGCCTTCTCTGTCCTTATGGCCAAGAGCGCCAACGTGTCCTCTGAAAGTCTTGAAATGATCACATATATCGGCCTAGGTGTATCCATTTTTTCCCTGCTGATCTTCCTTTTTGTTGAGTCCCTGGTTTGGTCGGCCGTGACAAAGTCAAACCTGTCGCATTTCCGTCACACAGCAGTGGTCAATATTGCCGTCTTTCGCTTGCTTGCTGATTGCAGCTTCTTGGCTTCCATTGAGCCCGACAGCCTCTCTGAAGACATGTGCTTGGGATTAACCGTCTGCAAACACCTGTTTTATCTAGCCATGTTCTGCTGGATGCTGTGTCTGAGTGTCATGCTGGTCCACCAGCTCATCTTTGTTTTCAGTCCGGTCAGGAAAAGAGTCTTCATGTACCTCTCCAGCATTGTAGGCTATGTTCTTCCAATGGCACTTGTGGCATCAAGCTATGTGTATTACAGATACACTGAGCAGGAATACTTTGATAAAAAGAGCTGTTGGCTAAGGTATGATCGACTGTTGGAAGGCTCCATTCATGCATTTCTTCTTCCTGTAGGCACCATTGTTTTGTCAAATCTCTTCTCCATGGTGGTTGTCATTGTCACCTTGGTGAAGACTTCAGTTCCAGACAGCAGCAAAGCAGATGACAAGGACACAGCCAAGAGCATTCTTAAAGTGGTGGTCTTTCTAACTCCTGTCTTTGGGGTCACATGGATTTTTGGCTTTGTTTTCCTCATCCTGGATTACGACAACCCCCTGCATACGCCTGTAAACTACATTTTCACCATCCTCAATTCTTTCCAGGTAATTTAGTCATAATTATCACATTAAGCTGCTGAGATATAATGAGTTGGACTGTCAAAACGCCGCTGATCTGAGCTTATTCTCTATAGAGATACGAAAGTAATGGGTAATGGCTGTTTACTGCATGTGTATTTATTACAGATTTATGATGTGAAAGGGGCTTCTAGGTCATAAGGATACTAACTGAAACCTAAAACCCAAATTGATTCCCAAAGACTAGCAATGCCAATTCAAAAGGAAATTTAAAGTCAACAGTAGACATACACCAATTAAGATATGAACTATCTTTATTATCAATGAGGAGCATTTATTCCTTAAGTGCATATAAATGTACTCTGGTCTGGATTCCTAAAAAGTTTATATTTTGTCGATTAAATAAAAATACTCCATAACCAGAACTTGCAGCCAGTCCTTGCTATCTAAAACCATTAAAGACATATCTTGTAATATTAGCTCATCTCTAACAAAGGACTGTTTTAGTAAATCTATAAAATGGCAGCCATGTTGGTGCTACCTGAAGGTAAATAAATAAAACCAGCAAACATTAAGCTACTGAAATTATTTAGAGCACAAAACCAACATCTTGAAAAAAGCTTTTGCATGAACTCAATATTCAGTTGCTCTCATAAATGCAAACTTCCCAGATGAGAATTCAGGTGTTTCAGTAGGTTGGATAAAAAGGACCTTGATTAATAATTCTTAAATATTTTGCATCCCAGCTGAAATAAAAGGCTTTGCATCCTAAAACCACTACATCCTTTGTTGTTATTATTTTCTTTATTTTATCATATATATAATTTTAGGCTTTATTAATAGCCATCGAAGATTAAAACAACCTTAAAATGATTTTTATCAGTCAGTAGAAAGATGAGCTGCAAAGCAACATGTAGCAACACCGAAAGTGATGCAACCGTGGGACAATAATCTGCTGTAATTTCCACATGTCTCGACTGACAAGTAAAATTATGAACAGATTTTATTGCAATTACACCATGTCAGCCTTTTTAAAATCTACATAAACCTTATGATAAAATCTGTTTGGGTCTAGCAGGAACCAAAGTGAACCCACAAATTCAAAGGCGTAAGAGATCATAAACCAAGTTTTGTTGTCAGCATAGGCCCAAAACCTTCTGTTCTAGATAGCTGAAGGATTTCCTCTTTTGATTTACATCTGAATTTACAATAAAATATCCAAAACTGACGTTTTGAAATGCCTGACCAAAATATAATAGGAACTCTGTAGACTCACACACAGAGGGCTGTCGGTCAGATGTCTTCATAACCTGGTAGTTTTGGAGAACTTTTGCAAGTTAGATGGGGCAAAGATTATAAAGTCAAGATGAGACGTGATGAAAGCCCCTACCATTAAAGGGAAAGGCTTCGTTTTAAAAGGTTATTAAACTGTGTCACAGATAAAGAATGTGCACCTGGAGTCAGCAAGGTTGTTGAACCTTTTTCGAATTGGTTTTTAGACAATATGAAAAACATTGAAGCTGGGTTTTAGAGTATCCGTAACAAAGCAGTGATTAAACCAACAAAATTTAGACCCTGGTTCTAGACGGAAAGTTTTGACATTTTAGGAAGGAAAATAAGGGAGAGAGCTAATTCTGTGATTACAAAAGGTCTATTAAGAGTGGAACATGTCATTATTGTCTGAAAATGGAAGTCCATCAGTGGTCCCTAAGCTTAAATCTGTGACTAACACTAGATTGCCTTGGTGGAAAGCAACAATACTATAATAGGTCTTTTTTATTGCTTGTAATTTAAAGCCTCATGAACCTTTGTTTTCTCATGCAGGGCCTTTTCATTCTGCTAACAGGTCTGGCTGAGCAGAAGGTATGCTTGTCTTTTTAACACATACTACATACTACTACTGTATTTTGTGCATTTAGAGAATCCTTATAAAGCTTTAGAGGAGACAACAAATAAATTATGTGAAATAAAGTTTTACCATATGACCAGTATGGAAAGAGGTTGATTTTGTGTTTTTTTTTTTTATCTCCAGGTCAGGCAGGAACTTGTTAAGATTGTAATGGTAAGTCCTTTAGCTTAGACACTGAACCATAAAATGAAAGAAACTCCCAGAAAAATACATTTTGCTTTTTCATCCTTCTTTAGGCAAAAACTGGGCGGGACACTGATAGCATCAAGAAATTTACCAATAGTTCAGCTACAACCTACACAAAAGACAAGTGATGAAGGTGAGATTTCCAGGGACATACATGTTCTTCTGTTGACTAAGACATGTAAAGTGATGTTGCTAAATGTAAATGTTAAGGGAAAATGTTCCTTTACAGAAGAATTGGTGACAATGAGTCCAAAAGAGAGTAAATTAGGAAATCCCCTTCTTAGCTAGCTGTCATGGGTTCATTATGGAGACAAAACAACAATTTCCTTGTACTTTCTGTACAAGTTTCTGGGGACATTGCTTTGATCTTGGACTAAATTAAGCTGCTTAGACTAGCTTACCCCACATTATGGACCCAAAACAGCTTTACAGAATTTATTTTCACCATATCACCATATTGTAGGGACTCTGGGTCTGTTATTCACCAATCAGAACCTCATTTGTCCCAGGGGGGAGTATTGGCGAGGGGGTTGGGTCACAATACAATATCATCACAATATTGTAATATCAAGATATATTGTGGTATACTACCCAGCTAATATCAAAATGAAATGTAGATATAAAAAAAAAAAGCAATTGCAGTATATTCATTATAAGATACTGATCATTCAGTTATTTTGGTAGCCATGTTGTTTGGGCTTTGTGGCGGTAAAGTAGTGCATTACCCCACCATTGATTTAAGGAAAAAATTCATTTTTTAAATCGATATTAGAAGCTAAATGATCGATATTATATTGGGATCCAAAAATCATGATATATCGTAAAATCGATTTTTTTTTCCCCCCATACCCATAATTTTGTCCTTTTATATCTATGATGAAAATATTAATATTATATTCTCATTGGGAATGACTTAGTTCAACCACATCAGTTGTTTTTTCTTCCTTTAAAAAATGTGTAACGCTCAATGTTTATTGTCCTTGTTATTTTGATCGTGACTCCTAATCAAAGTAAAATAATTCCAAATGACATCTTCCTGTAGATACTATTATCTCAATGGAAATGGATACTTAAATTTCAAAATATCAAACTTCTAGTATGTCATAGGTTTATGCACAAACTAGATGAGTATTTTTTGTCTGTGTCATAAACAGCTATTTACCAGAGAACTTGATTTGCATTATCCAGTTCTATAAGAGGGACCATATTATAGTCTCTGTGGAACATGGGTGTTCTTTGGTTAAGGAAATACTGTGGCTATAATTGCAAAAGCGATGCAAACTACTACATTGCTAACTTGCTTGTCTGGTTTGTGTCGGATCTACTGCATGCAGAAGGAGGAACAGTGGCTGAACGTCCATCAGTTGGTCAATGATTCAACTGCAGACAGCGGGCAACGTTTATTTAGCTTACTCCAATAACTGGACCTAAAGAGTCACACTGGGTCACCATTTCTTCTGCGATCAGTTATGAATGTCCTATTAACTTCCATTGGGATGCAGTGTGCTGGGCTCCTACTTTTGCTAATTATCAAAGACTTAACTTATAATAGAACTTCTGTAACACATATTCAATTTGAAAGCCTTTTTAGGGAAAATAACACTAGTTTAATTCAACAAAATAATCTTGGACTTAATATTTTGAGTTATCAAGTAGGAATTACTTGACCATGTCATGTTTTACATAAATTTAAAACCATTTAAAACATAATTATGCAACCTGTACCAACCAAAGAGCCTTAATGTGAAATTGCCTTTGTAACATTAAAACTTATGATTAACTACAAACATCTACAATAGGTAAAACCTGAATTTTATTTTAATTTTAAGGCTTAAAAATAATGGGAAAACTAAACTTCATCTCTGACATGGGAGTTGGTTCGGAGCTCATCTGCCTGGCTGTGTGTTTCCTGGATGGGCCCGCCTCTTACAACTGCTTTTTGTATGTCTGCTTCTGTCTCCTTGAACCCCAGTCGGCCTCAGCAGATGGCCGCTCACACTGATCCTGTTTCTACTGGAGGTTTATTCCTGTTAAAAGGGAGTTTTTCCTCTCCACTGTTGCTACAAGCATGCTTAGTGTGAGGGATTGTATTTGAGTCAATGAGTCGATGCAATCAACTGGTTTTCCTTAGATAGAAAACTTTGAATCAATCTGACTGTACGATCTGGTGAACTGTAAAGTGCCTTGAGATGACATGTGTTGTGAATTGGCGCTATAGAAATAAACTGAATTGAATTCAACTTTTGCAAAAAGAGGATGAATAAATTAATTTCTGTAAGATGTTGATTAGTTTGGACAGTTATATGAACAAAAAAAAATGTTCTTAACCTAATGAGAAGATTATAGAAAATAGATTGCTACTTTTACTGACTGTAGTTCTGGAAATTCACTGCAACGCCATAAAGGAAAAAAAAAAAACAGTGGAGCCACAATTTTCTGACCCCTGCCTTAGAATCACATAGCGGTCCGTATTCTTACCGTATCCTTGAGAACAAAGGCATTACGTACTTATCATTTAATTAAAGAACTCAGTTAATGATTCCCATTGTGTTGCAACAAAATGAAACCTTTGAGCTTTTAAAGGTTACAGTAACTCTTCAGTATTCCCACTAAATGCTTTAATCTGTGTGTTACAGACTGTGGAGGCAGAGAGAGCAGCGCTGATGTCTGAAGCTTCCCTGGCATCCCAGGAGGCAAGAAGTTTGCATTCTGCTTTTGGACTGATACATATGTGTAGCTGATTGATCTAACAAAAACATTAAATATAATCGAAAGCTTATCAAGTAGAAGACTAATGTTTGAGTAGCAGTGAGGTGATTGAATTTACAAAAATATATGGTAGACATACATTCTATTTTTGTCATTGTCAGACATAAATCACCAACATTGTCGAGGGTAGGGCAGATATATATATAGATTTTCCTTATTATATTTTTTGAAAAATAAAGCAAATAGCAAAACATGATTATTTAGCTGTAAGTAGAGGATTTAAAATACAAACAGCAACTAAGCAGATTTACTTTCTGTTCCAAGCCACTGTATATAGAACAATTAATCATTTATCAAATCATTTCTGTTTGTGGTCCTTTAATGATAAAAATGTTAACTCACATAGTTTGAGAAGAGGTGTAAGCTGTATACAATGCTTGTATATGTCTGTATTTATTAGACATTGTAGTGAAATAAAGATTAATTTAGAAATGAAAGCTCTGTCATACATTTTTATTGTGTTAAAATGGTGGCATGCAGTTATTTTACAATAGAATTGGAAGAAAAAAAACAAAGTGTATTTCTTTTATCTTTTGAATAAGGAAGGAAAACTTGTAAATCCTCTAAAATGGGTTGGTGTGAGGTCTTCCAATGGACAGCATTAGAAATACTGCTTCTGCTACACCACATTAGAGATAGGAGGATAAATCACAGCGGAGTAGATGGTGAACACCTGAAAAAGAGATAAGGCATCTGAGTTTTTGTTCATCTTTGTTCCCCTTCTGGTTTCCCTCCTTGAAATGCAGAGACCAAATAAATGCACTCTGTGGAAATTAGAACAGCTTTGCATACAGCCTTGTGTAACACGGTTGGCAAGAGCAACAAACAAATAGTTGTGGCACAGAGAAACAAAAAGGCGCTGTTTCTATGACGCAGTAAAATAATCATGTAGACAAAAAAGGTATAGACAGAATAACATTTCTTTTATCCAATTAAGGTGGCTTTTATAACGCTGGTTCTTAAAAGCCAGTGTTGCCTTTTAGATCCAGTCTTGCTCTGACCCTCAGGTCATGGTGGGCTGAAAGCCAAGTGTATCATATTTGATACATGAGCTGTTGAGACCTCCACATCATGAGTTAAATAGTTTTTGTTCTCGAAAACCCTCATTCACACAATCAGACATGTGTAGTGAACAAAAAAACGCCCAAAGATATGCCCAATGTTTTAAAATTAATGTAACCCTCATTTGTCATGAAGTTCAATGACAACTCTAAAACAATTATTTAATGGTCTAGGCTTTAAAGGGTTAAGCAGGGATACTGCTTAAAGCTGCAGGAGAGTAGCTCTGGAGGACCTTGGTTGGAGATCACTGACATACTGGATATGGGACCACTGGTGCAACATGGGTTTTCTGTTTTGTTCAAAAGTTGTGTAGTTAATAAGTTTGGTTAATGGTTATAATGTTAATGTCTCTCAGCGAGAGATAAAGAGAGAGAGGGAGACAGCGATGTTTTTATGATCTAAATTTGACTGCAGGATTCTGCTTTTGCATTTCTTCTGATACATCTCTGTACTTTATGTATTTGTACTGGCCTTTTTTTACTTTCTGTTTTATTTTAGGATCTGTCTACCACTGTGTGCTGTCAGCTTTTTACTTCCTTTAACCCTGCTGTATCTGTTTCTGAGGTTGTTTTGCCATTTTTTGCCAACTCCAGCTGATATTTAATCAAAACCTGTAAAATTAGATTTTAGTTTTTGTATCGTATAGCATTGTTCATTCTCATTTCCCTTCAGATCGCGGCTTGTTTAACAACTTTGGCTCCTTAAAGATGATTCGTTTCATTGTATTCATTGCAGTTAACAAAAACAATCATTAACAAAAGCCAACAGCCTCCATTGAGCCAATATCAGCCTGACCTTTCAAGCTTCAGTTTCCAGGTTCTCTCGTGGGGTCGAGAGGGAAAGTTCTTGTATTTCTTTGTAGGGGTTGAGATCAGACCAATTCACAGGGTATCTTCAATTATTGCCAATTTTCTCTGATCCTCTGAGTCGATTCTTAATGGTCTGTCCACAAGTAAAAAGTAAGGACGGTGGACTTGCTGTCTGTCTACTGTCACAATCAAAATGTCTTTATTCTCATTATTAAAAAAAATATGATATAATGCCACTATGGCCTAAATGGCATACTAACCAAATTCTAATATTTAAGTTCCTGCTTCCTCATAATTATCCTCTGGTGCTTCATCAAATACTCAGGTCACCCAACCAGGACTCCTTGTAAGATTTGGATCTCTTCAGGTCTTCCACCTGAAAGCATCTTGTTTGATCTCTGAATCACAGGGTTCTAGCCTGATCTCTGTTTTGGGCTTATTTTCAAGGAATTCTATAGGTTATATAAAGTTTCAAGCTAAAACATTTGTATCATAGTGTAATAGATGCTCCATTTGAAATAAAATATAAACTGGTATTGACTGCAGCAGCAGAATACTTGGGATTTATTCTCTTTTTTTCTCCTAAGCCTCCATAAAATGATTTAAAAAAAAAAACTTTTATGTAGAGTATTAGTTTAAATAATACTTAATACAAATACCAATCACAGTCTGATATTTTTATTTTTCCGAGTAGAAAACACACAAACCTTAACAAGGCTTTTCCAGCAGCCTCCACACACATGCCTTAGTTTAAACCATAGCTGCCTCCCTCTGCTTTGAGGGTTCCTGTCTCATTTCTTCCCCTTGCACTGGATCTGAAAGGTCTTTGGGTTGAGCTGAACGTTCCACCGGCACCTCAGTCTTAATCAGGTGGGTCAAATCTGGAGATGTGAGAGTTAAAAGTAGGTTTAAGATTTTATGTTCAAAACATTTACACCTTGGAATGTGTGGTTTTAACCCATTACCATTGAAGTCAGCAGTTATAATAAGATCATCATTCTTGAGAAAGTTCCTCCGCTGGAGGTGGCTGTGAGAAATAAATGTGCTCCATCCATAGTCCACACTTCGGAAGCACTGGCAACTCTCGTCCCAAACTGCTCCAGACGCGGTAGTCGGCTTGCCAAATCTGGTATTATTATCTAAGGTGAAAATTGGTAAAGACAGAAATCAAGCTTGGATTGCACAGAAACCCTCATATTTTAGTCATATCTGTCCAGAAATTCCTTTGAAAAAGGTGATGCTGGCCAATAAGTGAAATTATTGCCATAACAACTGATAAACCTTTTGAACCTAAATTTCCATAAAAAATGCATTACAGAGCTGTGAAATATAAAAGCAAACCAGTATAAATCAGAGAATATAAATATTTTTTTTTTAGCTGAAGTCTCTTGAACAAGCAGTGTGAGTCAATTTAATTTTTTTAAATATATTTAATATTTTTTATAATCTGGCAATAAAAATTAGGTATCTATTATTTTATTTTGGTTTTGTGAAGTCAAATTATATTATATTGTATCCATTTTACCAGACATAAAAGACATATTTTACTGTGAAGGTTGCAAATAAGAGTCCAATAGCTAAGAGATATGATAAGATATGATTTTGAAGCCCAAAATTTCCTAGCAGATCTTGAACTTGTCATTCAACAAACAACCATGCAGTTTCTGTTAATCAGCATAGGGCTGCACAGTAGTTTAAAATAGAGCCCATGGTAAGGGATGTAGTTGATCATCTCTTTCCCTGAATGTTATGCATATCGAGGCATTTGGTCAGTTATTTAAACATTAAAAATGACAACAAGATTCTTTCCCTGACTGTTTATTATTTTTTCTGCAATTTTTGGTTTGCAACAGATGCAGGTTACAACCTTAGAAAAGGTCCTAAATGAAAAAGATTGAAGTTTGACCCAACTTACTATTGCAGAATTTGTCAGAAACAAACAATATGGATTTTCTGTGTGAACATTGAAATTGTTTTCAAGATCGGCATCACCTAAACATGGTCAAAGTTAACTTCTATGATCACAGTTTAATCAAGCATAATAGTCTACTTTATAGTGATAAGTCTGAATAAAATTAACAAAATTATTTCGGTAATAAGTCCTACCTTAACATTTTCAAAGGAATTGCACTTAGTTAATACTTAGGAATAGCGTTTTTTCTAAACAAAAACAAGGTTTTGTTGGGCTACTGTATAAAACCTCAAACTCAACGCTATTCCTGACATTTTGAATTGAAAAAGCTTCCTGGATGGAAAGCTAAACATCTTCAAAATTGGAATCAAAGTCCAGTAGATTGTTTTAATATTCTTCTTTTATTTTTGGAATACCCACAAAGTTCTAAAGGAATTACTAAATCATATACTTGTGTATAGGAGACTTTTAAATGTTTGAAAAAACTTAATACTGGACGTTTAAATTTGTATCTATGCATGGCTAATTTAGGAAAAAAACACCAATGCTGAAGTATTACCTGCTCGTTAGTTAGCTGATCTTCTTAACTCTGAGACCAGTTAATGGCACTTATGAAAATTTTAGCTAACAATGTTATCCTTAATCATGATGCAGTTAATTATTTATTTATTTATTTGTTTGTTTAAACATGGAACAAAACCAAATCGATAAAGTAATCTCAGTAATTTGAGTTTTTACTGATTTAATTAAGTTTCTTTCAGCTTGGAAACTTTTATGATTTTTAGTTACCCTCTATAAATAGCATGAATTCAGATTGTCATATCATATTCCACTTTTTTGTTTTATCTGTAATTAAATCAACAAATCTCATGGACCTATCGCATAAGCCAATCTAGCAGTTGAAGTTGTGCCATAAAATTGTCAATCATCTGCCTACCTGTAGTGAAGCTTCTTGTAGACGACATCCTCAGAGTAACATCTGGGTGCTGGTCTAGAGCTACAACTGTGGCCTGCCTGTTTTCAGCAGGCCATTGCATCACTCCATCATTTTCTCCACTGCAGAGATGCACGCAAACACCAACATAGTCTGGGTATGAACTATGTCTTCCATTAGGGTAAACACTGACTCCAAAAGAGTAGCCCTCAGAGTTATAAACACATTTGCTTTTTACAGCAGTGCCGAGGGGTGTTGTAGCAAGAACTTTAGAAAAGTTGGGGATTTGCCAAACAAGACTGGGACAGACAGTCTCAGTGAGAGTGATGTCATCGATTAAGATGGCGCCTGTGGAGCTTGTTGATCCTCTGGTTCCTTGGAAGATGTAACGGAACTTATGGGTCATCTTAAGATTCACATAAGCTACTTTCCAGGCATCATCACCTTCACCTGAGAAACAAGTTATTGAAGTAATGGTTAGTTTTTCCAGGCATATTCTAAACTCAGTTATTTGTTATTGACCTTCCTAATTGGTAAATGGTAAATGGCCTGTACTTATACAGCACTTTTTCAAGTCAGGAGACTTGACCAAAGCGCTTTCCCTACATTCAGTCACTCACCCAGTCACTCACACACTCACACACCGATTTGACCGAGCTCAGGACTCAAGTGTGGTATACCTGTAATGGTGTGAATTTTTGTTAAGGTGTTCACAGCCCCTGTCCCATCATCACTTCTGACCCATACCAACAGTTTGTCCCCAGCTGCCCCGGTCATCTTGTAGAAAAACTGGAGACACTGTTCTTTTCTCTTTGGATAGAGGATACGGGACTCCAGCAGGGCAGTGTTGCCTGCTGCACCGGAAGATGCATCAAACTTCATAAAGTAGCCTGAATCTGAAATAGATTATTCCTTATCAAGTGAAAATTGTATTTTATGTGTTTTTTTTCTTAGTTTTAATATTCAGTTATATGCTTTTTATGATTATAAAACCTGTGAAGCACCTCTACAGCGTCCCACCAGGGTATGATCTTCATCACTTGGACTGCTCAGCGTCTGGACCCAGTCTGCGTTGTCATCCTCATTCTGGATCATTCCACAGATGTTTATGAGCTCAAAGGAGCACTGATCCAAGAGAGTATGTGATTCAGCTGAAACATGATTGATATAAAACAAAATACAATCTTATTAAGGCTGGAACCCCATAAAAATACATACAATAACTTCAATCTATATATATTTATAGATACAAAGTTAAGCAATTATATATTTTTTACTCTGTTTTTTAAATGCAATTTATTATTTAATTAATAATTTAAAATGTGTTTTAATTATTTAATAGCATTTAAATAGTCTAATGGTAAATTAATTATAATATTGATAATATGACTGATTATAAATAATTTATTAAATGTTAAATCTGCTTATTTCATGGTACGTGTATTAATTTTTAAGGGACATTCACCTTTACTTGTTTCATTATATATTTTAGTGACACATATACCTCAGAGATCCCCTCCCCACTTTGGGGAACAAACCATCAGCAGGCAATTTGATCCAAGCTTTAAAACTTTGCAGCCTCTGTCAGCACTAGTTTTCTCACCTCAGCATCCTGAACACGGGATGACAAATTTTATAAATGATTCTGATTTTTTTTAAATCTATATCTTGAAGAACCTCAGGAACAGTGGATAGACCCTTAAACTATCAGCCCAAGATGGTCAGGCAAGGGTTAAGAGGAATAAAATAAGATGCAGTTGTATAAAATGGGGTGCATCGTCTATCATATTTTTTTCTATGTAGGTTTTCATTTTATTTTATGATATTTAGAGCATTATATATTTACCAAATATATCGACAAGACTGGTACGTTTTGAAACAGAATGACAGCAGTGTATTCCCTTTGCAAGGAAGGATTTAGAAAATAAATTACAGTCAATCGCTAGATATTAAAAAACAGAAATAAAAAAAAAAATTGGTCATTTTTATCCAAATTAAATATAACAAAAGGACATTTATTCTAAATGAACATTTTAGATGATCAAACATTTGTTCTCCAATCTATAAATATTTCTGTGGTGTCTTTGCAGCTTCAAATTACACAGATATAACAACGGAGAGAATCCAAGCATTGTGAAAAACTGGTACAGATCTTTGACGAACAATAAACATCAGCATATCTTTAATACGGCATCTAGTAGGAATACCCACCACAGTCATACATGCGGTTCAGCCTGGTGATGTCTACTTCACTGAAGTCCAGCCGCTGACCAATGACATCATTGAAGTATGGTATGGAGGTTGTAATTGTGGGGACACTTTCATTCTTGTTAAAGGAAAACGGCCTGTAGTGCATGATGGATTCATAGTCGTACGGGGTGTTCAAATCAGTGATGAAGTCATCATCATATTTGTTGAAATTGTGCTCCTTCCCTGTTGGAACAGAGTTACATTATCACCAACATGGAGGAATGTTTATAAAAGATCAGCAGATAAAGTTGAAAAATAGACTAAAGTTCCATTGGAAGCCAGACCACCTAGTTTGCATATGGAAGTGTATACCTAAATACAGTTTTGAAACACTGCAGAACAGGTATTGTAAGATTCTAAGCTATGTTTGAAATAATGCCATAAGCTGCATTTTAATTTTTAATTTCTTTTTTTTGCCTTTTAGCAATGTCATTCTGAAAAAAAGCGAGATCGAAGTGCATAACATACACGTATTAATGTTTTACCACTAATCTTCTGAAATGTTGCATTTAAACTAACACTATTTAAATGATATGAGAAAGCTCTAGCAACTTAATACTCTCTGAACACCACAACGTTCTGGTTAAAAAAAGAAAGTCAGTTTGTGTTTCCACACTTTTTGTGCACCACAACAGCACTTTTTTTTAATCTGAAAACATTGTAAAAACTCCCAGTCTCGACTCTAATGTAGACTAGAAAAATGTGTGTTGGTAAGCATGTGCATCTTGTTGTGTTTCCAAGAACACACTGCCAACTAATGGAGTGACAGAGACATTACAATAAAAAGTTTTGAATAGTGTTTTGTGCAGACGTTGAAAAATTGTCCCTTTGTGATGGATTGCTGTAATGTGCACCAGGCCTCAAGTATCGTATGCAGTTTGGAGACTTGACAAATTTTGAAGTGAGCTAATCCACACAAATTTTTTACCTCTGCATTAAGTTACATATTGCTAATTAAGACGTTCAATATCAGCATCCAAATAAAAAAGTCACTGGTAGGAAAAGAAAAAAGCAAGATAAGCCCTAGTTAGTTGCAGTATCCTAACAGTCATGGCTACAGATACCACAGCAACAGGTACTATCATTAATAACACTGATTTGAATCTGTTAATATAGAGAAATGCAATGATCATTATCCTAATATGCACCCAAACTATTAATGTTATTTAGGCTAGTTGACAAATATTTGCATGCAAACCAAAAGGGGAGACAATGTGAACAGGCACACCGTGATGTTGTTGGCTACGTGCATAATTATTGCCATTGGTTATATATATACTGCATACCTAATGCAACTCTAGAACCTGTGAATGAAATGAAACGATTAAAAAAGCACTTAAACTGAAATTCAGCTAAATTTGTTTGAAAAGACACTCAGCTTCTTCTCTGCTAAAATGAAGAAACAAAACGTAGTAAAGCTGAGAGGACAGACACCCACCTTCCTCTATCTCATCCCACCAGATTTGGACATAATCATCCCGGTCTGAACGAGACTGCTCATGGTAGAAGCCCAAAGCATGGAGAAGCTCATGTTCTACTACAGCCTTGGTGTCACACCCCTGTCCAATGGACACATTCTGGCCTTTTCCGTCATCTCCGACGTATGACCAGCAACTGCATGGTTAATGTTGGAAGCACCAAATCAACATAAAAAGCTTGTGGTTTACCATTGGTGCAAAAATGTAGGCATCAACCTTGCTTCAGTGTCTCACCCGGAAAGCTTGACGAACGATATGTATGTGGACTCTCCTTCATAGGGTTTAAAGTCCACACAGGATCTCAAGCGGTATTCCTCAAATGCTTGGAGGATTACACCCTTAGCATTCAGCTCTAAATGTCAAAAGAGAAATCAAACAGAAAATCAGCACCTTTTTATTAAATTATCAGCTGGCAATTTGCATTAAATGTGCACAGTATACCTAAGGAATCTGTCAAGATGTAAGGTATGGGAAACTTCCATCTTCTCGTCTCATCAGTGATGGCATTTCTTTTGGGCTGTGCAACAAAAGGCATACTTTGAAAGCTAAAATTTGAGTTTTCACTGAAAACTTTTAATGCAATCTTTTGCACTTACATTGATGGCGATGTCTCCCTCAAACAGATCTAATCCTGAATATCACGAATAAAAATTAAAGTAATTAATAAATAATTAAAGCTAATACACTGCATCTGTGCATGAATTATAAATAGAAATACCTCTGTTAATATCAAGAATGTCATCTCTCAATTCACCAGGATCTGCCTCATCATCTAAAGAATAAAGTCAATGTTAGAGCAAAAAGATAGCAAACAAAACATCTCATTTTTATGAAGAATAAGGTTTAAAAAGACCAACCGGTTAATAGTGGAGCAGCCTGCACCTATAGCAAACAAGCTCTTCTTAATAAAAACTCTGAACCAAAACAAAAATATTATCAGCCTCATATAAAGAACTGAAATCACACCTTACCTTCAACAGGACAAACACTCCAATCAGAAGGGAAATTTTCTTTAAATCTCCCCCAGACCCCATGTTGATCAGGGACATGATTCTGTCTGACTGCAGTGTGGAAAAACAGCCATCAAAAAAAGTGCATAACAAGAACTTTAATCAGGGCTGTTATTGTAATGAGTAACAGATTTTACTTGTGTCCTTGCTGGAGCTGCTACAGCTGACACGGCATGTTTAGGTGATAAAACAATAAACTGTATGTTATGAAATGAAGATGAGCACAAAACCCTGACAGAGTCTTATGAAAGCATTTTGATAGCCAAAAACCTAAAAAAAAAAAAAAAGGGGGCAACGCAAAGAAAAACACTCTTATCTGATAAGATAAATTTAAACTTTAAACTCTTACATTACATGATCGATTAAACTAAAACAAGCAACAACTTGATAAAAGTTAAAAAGGCCTTGGTGCGTGTTTTCAATTGGGGCGTTATCAGTTAAATATGTCAAGGTGCCGACATGGCAGGCATTAACAGCTTCAACCACTGACAGATTCATTTTATCACCTGATCATCTACTGTTAAAAACATTAACATTTTGGCACAGTTTACTAAAAAGGTGCCAAAACTGTGTCAAATGGGATTTTCACCTTATTAAAGAGAAAAAGGTTAACTAAAACAGCTGATTTTCTTTGTAAGACTCACTCTGCATATGACAGAGCGTTTGATCATGACAATTACACTGTTTATCATGAACTGTGTTTTGAGCAGCTCATAGGGTGAACTTAAAGGTCACTACTCCTTTTATAATCTTTGTTACGTACAGAAATTGCAACACCTAAACACAGCTTTAAATGAATACAATAGGTTGCTATGAAGGTATAGCTGCAGTTTCAGAGGATAGCAGACATAAGCAGCAGTGCAACAATAATATATCTATGTTCTGTACATAAAAGGTTTTCCTTATCTGTGCAGTCTAATCTAACTTTATTTCTTTATTTTCATTTTATTGTCCTTTATGCTTTCATTTGCCTGTTGGTTTTGCCATTGACACAACTAAGTTTCCCCAAATTTCTATTCTAGCTAAAGCTCAGACTGGATGAAGACCACCTGAGAAAAGAAGTCAGCTGTCAGGATCCCAGTTTTTGTGTTTGTCTGTTTGTCTTGTCTTTTGTGTTTCTCCCTTCCACCACCAGGAGGCGCCTGGCTCCGGTTCGCCTCCTCACACACCTGCAATTTGTTGCCTCATCACCAGAATGTTCTTAAGCTGCTGGTTGCCACTACTTCGACGCCAGAGTGTTTGCCAGTTTGGGGTACTCTAGCCAAGCCTTGTTTATGCTGAGTCTAATCTGAGTTTTTGCATTTTGAGTTTTTGTCCTCTAGCCAAGCTGAGATCACTCTCTGAGTAAGGAAGTCATCTTCACCACGACCCGTTCAAGTACCACAGGAAAACTGAGTTGGAACCAGCGGCTGCATCATTCCACTCCGTCTGAGTTCTGGGTAAACCCTGTTCCGCCCTCCACTGAATCAATCAAACTCTGGAAGACCAACACACAGACTGGAGTCTACGTGTCTCCTCTTCTCTGGAAACCTTCCGGTTGAGCAGAGTTCGGAGGAACTCTGCACCGAACTCATATACTCTTCAATAAAACCTGTTGAACTTTTATACTGTGTCTCTCTGCGTGGCTTTGCTACATGTGGGTCCAAGCCCTTAAAAAAAAATCATGACACAGGCAGCACTAATGAATGGCGATCTATATAAATATGAACCTTCCCTCCAGTAGTCTTTAGAAGCCTCCGTTCTTCCAGGTTTAAGTTTGATTCATAATCCAATCATTTCATCCGCCCCCTTTTTCCGCCTAATTTGAAAAAGTCCCACATCATAATGATACCAACACCATGTTTCACCCTGAAAATGATATGTTTATGGTAAATTTTTGCCTTCACACATAATATTCTAAAATTTGGCTTAAAGGATTTTTTGGCCACATCTCACCCTAGAAACTAACCCTAACCCTTTCCAAATGTTCTTCATTTACTTTACAGTTTTGAGCTACTTTGCTGATCTATAGCATAAATTCCGAATTAAATTATGGTAGTTTTTGAAAACAGTTTCCATACATACCTTGTATAGCTGATTGGATTATTATTTCTGTTGTTGCTACATTTCCAAAAGTACTGATTAAAGGCATTTGCTAAATGGATTTTGAATGTACTTTAAGACAGGGGTAAATGTGTTGGTTCCATTCTTTCTTGAAGTAGTTTTACTGACCTCTGACTGGTCATTTATTGTTCTATTTCCTCAAAGCCGCCATGAAAAACACTAAACCCCTTGAACAGGGCTTTTTTTAGGGTGTATTCAACTTTTTTTTTTTTTTTGGCAATAGCGGCTCGTTTTTTCAACAGTAGGCTGACAGGAAATGTGGTAGGAGAGAGGGGAGAGACATGCGGCAAAGGACCACAGGTTGGCCGAGTCGAGGACTGAGGCCTCCGATCATGGGTCATGCACACTAACCACTACGCCACCTGCACGTCCGGGTGTATTCACCTAGCTGAAGCTAACTAAACATGTCAGCTATTTATACAGAAAAAAAACATTCTTTTTTGAGCCTTTTATTAACATTTCATGATACAGTTTAATAACATGTTGTCTAACACTTTCCATATAGTTATCTTCACAGATGTTTTTTCTCATATCAGCTGTACCATCCTGTCATAAAAAAAAGAAACATTTCACATTATTATCTGCGTTTATCTCACTAAATATAATAATAATAATAATAATGTGTGTAAATACTTACCATTTGGCTTTGTTATAAAAGCCTGTATGACTTTATTCATGGGAAACAATCGGGACTTCTGTTTTGATGAGCGATGTTATGTCTATAGAGAAGAAACATGCAAATCTTGTCAGCTTTATGGTGGCGTTGGACTTTAAGCTTTTACTGATGGAGAGAAAAATGCAATAAACCTTCAAAATCAGCGAAGATGATGAGGTCATCATCCTTCAGGTAATTGCGTCTCTTGAGGTCAAAGTACTTGATGAAGTTCCTCCAGCCCCATGATTCACCTCTGTAGCAATCACAGGAAGGGTCGTACCTGCCCACCTTAGAGGGATTGTCCCAAAACAACTGTCCGGCTGAATCTAGAAGCAACAAGAACAATAACAGAGCAGAAAAAAATTTATTCCCAAGCTTAAATAACATGAACTTGAATTATAGCTTAATCTTGCCTTGCCTCTCCCATTCCTGCCACTATCTTAAAGTATTTAATGACTCAAGAGCACAATGAACGAGGAGGACTATTCTACTGCCATGATCAAGTGCACCTTTGAGACTGTAGGTCATAGCATCTCAATCCTTGGTCACTAAAGAAAATATTTTATACAGTAGCAGCCATTCAAAATGGCCCTTCCCAGTCAAATGCAGCCGAATGGCAGTCTACTGCCCTCCAACTCCCAGCAAAATCCCCTTTAACTTCCAGCCACTGGAGTGAGCCCTTCTTGCATATTTATTTACTCTGACTCCACCCTTTCACTGAAATACAGGGTCTGACCAGGAGATGATGCTTCTCTTTAGATCTTAATGTCCACAAATCATGACACAAAGAATATTTTAGTACAAAGATTGATGTTTAAAAAGGAATTGTAGGGGACTAGCCAACGACCCATCAAGGAAAGTGTGGAAATGTGTAAAAGTGACTCTGTAATTGGGTACAAAATTGTAGTAACATGGGGGTAGTCAGGATAAAAAAAAAAACATTCGTTAAGAAAGTGACTATCCTAACCCTAACAAGGTCCTGTTGCTACATGATAAAAGTTTGTTTCATCTTATTTTTTTGTGGGTAAAACAGCTCCATGAATGAACTCTATAAACTGCGATTTCAATATATATTGTATAATTCGCATTTTGTCTTTTCCATCTGGGCAACAGGACAAACTTACTTGTTCTCATATCAGTGGTGAGACTGCGGGCTGAAGACATCCTCTGCAAAATATCTGGGTCTTGGTCCATCACCACTAAGGTGGCTTGTCGGTTTACAGCTGGCCACTTCATCACAACGTCATTCTCCCCACTGGCTAGGTGGAAGTAAAGCCCGACATAGTTCCCAGAGAAATCACTGTAACTGGACAAAGGCATGACACGTACGCCGTAACCGTAGCCTTCGCGGTTGTAGAAACGGGGGCTGTCAATAAAGGTGTTTTCGTCTGCTTCTTGCATGATCTTGGAGAAGTTACGGATCGTCCACACGGCGTTTGGGCAGCGTGTCTCGGTCAGGCTGATGTCGTCGATATAGATACCTCCAGTGGAAGCAGTGGGGTCTCCTCCAGAGGCTTGGAAGCCATAGCGGAATTTAACCCCAACTTCCAAAGGAACATGAGCGATCTTCCATGACTTTTCACCATCCGCTGGGTAGAGAGCAAAGGTTATTGTTTAAGAACTAAGGTAATGCATGTCAGTTTAAAAATATTATTCAGTATTGTGGTAATCAGCTTTACACATAAAAGTTGTGACTTAGACCTACACAACACCATCAAACCTTATCCTGGTTATAATTGTTTGCTATAAGCAAAAAATTGCAAAAAACCTCTGGATTATAGTCTTAAGTCTTTTTCCGCCTTCTGACATTTTTTAATAGTTTCTCCTATATTTAAGTTCCCATTTACTTGGATTAGTTTTCCTTCATAATGTGACACATAATGTGTTCAGGATGATACACCCTGGTAGTTTTCACAGATACAGCATTTTGCATGTCAGCACAAAGTTAATCTTGGTCACATCTGATCAGAGTACTACCTTGCAGAGTTCTATTATTCCAGTATGGACATTATTTTGTGAAGGACACCAAATATGGTTGGATGTAGTTTGATATATCTAAGGAACACTGTGTTTTCTTTGTTAATATATTTAAAAACTGCACACTTTTGGGTTCTTATCCTTAAGCCAGAAAGAGAAGATTTAAGGATGACATTATATAAAAAAAGGGAGTAAAACCGTTTTTTCGTCTCATTAGCTAAAAAGACATACTGAAAACATAAATAAGTTGCTAAAGTGATCAAAATGCAAAATTAATATGTTATCAGGTTCAGTAGTGTTTTATATATTCAGGTCTGCTCTAATAATTACTTTATGTCGAAAGGTATTTGATTTTTTTTTTGTTGTCTAAAAAAACTGTTGTTAAAAATGAAGCAAAATATTGCAGATAGTTTACTATTTAACCAATCATTTATTTTGCTTATTCATAACTAAAAGCTGAGAAAAATGGTATTACATGTTGAGATGTACTTCGCTGTGTGTAAACAATACATAATTGGCTTAAAACTACATATCCTAAAATCGTGCCATAAGACAGCAGCAGCCCCTTAAAATTTGCACTGTAATTGTGTTGATTCTTCAGGAAAGTTTAATATTGAACATTTTATTCAGGCAAGTACTAAATTACATGTGGGGAAATTCTCTTCACATGTAAAATGGATCAGATTAAGTAGGTAAGTATGTTTGAAGGTGGAACTCTAGTTAGCTCCTGTAAAGATGTCCACTGCTTACCATAAAAAGTTTGTATTTTCTTCATTTTGCGGACAGTGCCTGTGCCGTCGTCCATCTTGGTCCAAACCACCAGCCTGTCTTTAGAGTTTCCAGTCATCTTGTAGAAGAACTGCAGACACTGCAACTTTCTTTTGGGGTAAAGGGTTCGGGACTCCAGCAAAGCAGACTGCAAAGGGTCTCCAGTCCTGGTATTGAAGTACATGAAATACCCCGCATCTGAAACCAAGGAAAAGGGCAGTGTTGATGAACTTTTACTTTTTAAGATTGCCTGAATTGCAGCTTTGTTGGATTTTAGAAGTGAACAAATTCCACTCTGACCTCTGCACCTTCCCAGAAGCGTATGATCCTCGTCACCAGTGCTGCTCTTCATATGGACCCAGTCAGCATCGTCAGTAGAAGACTGGATCATCCCACAGATGCTTGCATACTCAAACGAACACTGATCCAGAAGGGTCAGAGGGCCAGCTGGGGAAAAAGCAAGATACAACTAAGACACTTGAGCCCCATTTCCACTACCCTTTTGAAACCGTGCTGAGATTGGTCTGAGCACGGTAACCAAGATAACTGTTGAGTGTAAATGGTACAAAAAACTGAACCGGAGCAAACCAGACATTACCGAACTGAGCTAAATTGGTACTAGTTCATCAGCAGGGCTCGGCGCAGTTCTGTTCTGGCTTGGCTGAGATAACAAAGTGTGCATCCGTATTCATAAAATTTTAGACATAAAAATACAAGCTTCCCTACCTCGCCACTCGATTTCCACTGATGATTCTGTTGGGCACGTTACTTTGAAAAAGTAATTAGTTTTAGTTACTAGTTACTTCTCCCAGAGAAGAGATGCAGGGGAAACCGTATCTGATGGGGAAACGCAGCTCGACGTAACACCGGTATTTCCATCTGGAAAACACTGATTTGCTGCTGGAGTCCTCCTCACTCTCCATCTCTCTGTGTGTGCTGTATGTTAAACCCCGCCAGCGGGAACACCCACCTACCCAACTGACAGACGGAATCTCACTATATATCAGCCAATCTCATCCTCCCCTCTTTCAGGACAAGGCGCGCATGAGTCCTACCATTAAAAAAAGGTTAATTGAGCGACCTGAGTAATGTGCAGTAACGGGATGATGGCAATGGTAACTGCATAATAATTACAGTCAAAGTAATTAGTTAGATTACTGGTTACTAAAAAGGTAACGGCGTTAGTAACGTACTTTCAACGCCGTTACTCCCATAACTGCTTAGCAGTGTGATGAACCTCGACATCTGTCTTTTCCTGCGTCTGTAAGCCCTGATTAGACTATCGTTTGTCGTATCCACTTCCCAAAAGCCGCTTCTGTCAAGTAAATTCACCAAAGACTGTCTTCTTCTCCTGACTCTCCACAAACAATAAAATATCACAATTATAACCAAATTTTCTAAATGTTACAGTTGCTGCCATGTTGATTAGATCGTCACAAGGAGGAGAGGAGCCGTGCTAGCGTGATGTGTAAACGGTCGTAAGAAACTAAGTTCGACACGGTTAACTGATCCAAGCTCGGTCCGAACTCAGCACAGATCGGTTTCAAAGGGTAGTGTAAATGGAGCTTTAGTTCTTCAGATTTTTATTTCTAATCAGCTGCTAAATAGGAATAGGAATACCTACAGCAGTTATACATTCGGTTGAGCCTGAGGGTGTCCAACTTGCTAAAGTCACGGTACTGGCCGATGATGTAGTAGAACTCTGGGATTTTGGTGGTGATGGTTGGGATGGATTCATTCTTGTTGAAGGAGAAAGGTCTGTAATGCATGACAGATTCATAGTCGTACGCAGTGTTTTGATCGGTGATGAAGTCGTCATTGTATTTGTTGAAGTTGTGCTCCAACCCTGCAAAGGATTTTATATTTAAGACAGTCACACAATGTGTCATTATTATTTGTGCTTATTCCAAAGTTACCTGGCGTCACCTGGTCCAGCCAAATATCCACGTAGTCATCTCTGTCTGTACGAGACTGTTCGTGGTAAAATCCAAGAGCGTGCAGCAGCTCATGCTCCACCACAGCCTTGTGGTCACAGCCTGTTCCTAAAGACAAGATCTGACCACTTTGCTGGTCGCCAACCGAGGAGAAGCACCTGACAGGAGGAGGAATGGCTTAAAATTACAGAACAGATGACATTTACCAGTTTATTCACCAGTGTTGTGTTTGTGGTACACTGGGGTGAAAAGGCAATACAGATTTTTTCTTTTTGCTTCTTGGTCACATTTGATGGTTTTGATCAAGTAAATTTCACATTAAGATGGAGAGAGCCATCACCAAATGGAGAACTGTAAAATCATCTCGTATTTACCAAAAAGCGTCCAGTAATCCCCAAGAGTTTTGAAAAACTGTGCTATGGACCCAAAATGACTAAAATGCAAATATTTTAACAGTATTAGTCTAACTATAATTGTGTTAAAGCTAAGACACAATGTAAGAAATGTCCGTAAATTCACAGTATAAAGTACTGCACTTATTTGAAGGACTTTTCCATAATTTGTTTTTTAAGATCTTTCGACCATTTTTATCAGAGCCATTTAGGTAAGAGAGTTCTGACGACAATGGGCAACAATTTAGAGTCATTTACTTTAGAGAAAAATTTAGAGAAAAAAGTTTTGTAAAAAACAGATAAGGTTTTTTTTTTTAACAAATAGAAAAGTTCCTGGCAGAAAATTAAATTTTTCTGGGGTTTTTTTTGTTTTTTTTTATGTAGTTTATTTATACAGAGCGTGTTTTGTAAAAATAAAAAAGAACATATTGCAGACAGTCAGGCATGGTGGTGGTAGTGTTATGGTTAGGGGCTACTTAAAGGGCCAGCTTGCACATGCCCATGGCTAAGTTCATATTGCTTGTAAAGTTTCGACATTTGTGATCCTAGGGTATATAATATCTTGAATCAGGGAGTTCCCAACTGCTCCTCTACAGTTTTGAAAAGACAAAATAATTTTCCTGACATACCCTCCCCTCTTTTCAAACTTGATGTAAGTCCTCTCTCCCTCATAAGGCTTGAAGTCCACACAAGATTTGAGGCGATACATCTCGAACGCCTGGTGGACACAGCCTTTAGCGTTCAGATCTGAGCAGAGGAGTAATAAACAAAGAACACAAGAGGTTTTACTTTTTATACACAACATGTGTTAGAGATAAGATAGGACTTTATTGATCTCGCAACAGAGATATCCACTTGTACCATCAGCTCTAATAAACACCAGGAGGTGCCAAAGAAGGAAAAGGTGCATCAAAGCAGTACGTGTACAAACACAGGCTAAAAACAACAACAGTAAAATGTTATATATATACATATATGTGTGTGAATAGATAAGAAATAAAGTTGTCTTATATACCATAAAGTAATCATAAAGACATTAAGGTATGATCTACTGCAGTGCAAATACAGTATAATGGTGTTCATTGTTATTGATTGGTGCAATTAATAGCACACCAGAATTTAAAAATAATTTATATCCTCAAACACTCTACTTGCTCCATGAAATGTGTACATCTCAAGACAGCTTTATTGAAAGCAGTAGAGGAAATGACAGAACAACCTAGCAGCATTAAATGTAGCCTAAATGTATTAATCAGCATTTACAGTCTCCAAAGTCCTTTATCGATATCTAGAGCATGAGACCTACTGATAATTTGCTGATTCAGATCATCATTCAATTAGGATTAAGATTAGGATTAACTGCTTGAAAAGAGAGTAAAAGGAAATAGCTACCTTCTATTAAAGAACTTCCCCTGATAGAAAAATTAATGGGTTGATATTGAAAATTCAAAACAGTCCTGAGCCTAAACAATGTGGAATATTGATAATAAGTGAAAGAGAAACAATTCCTGACGAGGAAGCTTTTGGATGTTTGGATGCGGTTTAACGGCCTGTGATGATGAAATGGGAAAACCAATCTGATTTTAAAATCTTTGTTTTGTTTTAGCTATCACATACATATTATTTATTGATCTAGTATGTACACAGGCCAATTCAGGTGCCAAAAAAAAATACAATCATTTTACTTTCATAGATTTCATTCCTGTGTTCAAAGTATTTATTACATGTGTGAACTACAGTCCCAAATCATGAAAGATATTACTGTGTCTCACTAAAGGTTGGGATAAAATTTGTTTATATTTTTAAGCTCTTATCGTACAGTTCTTCTTCCAATGCCCGTCCTGTTTCCTGGCATGTAAATTAGACTTTATATTTTTAGAAAATACTACCTACTGCTGACTCTCTCACCACTTTTCCTGGTTTTATTCAAAGGTTAATTATTAAAAGCACTGGGATAAGAACCCAATTTACCTCTTGTTTTCTTTTTGTTGAAACCATTTAAATCAGCTTAAATCAATTGTATCTAATTTGCTTTCATTGATTTATTATTATTTATTTATCTGGAACTTTTCAAAATGTTTTTTTTTTGTTTGTTTGGTTTTTTTTTTTAACTCAGCAGTCAGTGGGTTTTGATAGAGTAAATTATTCAAGAGAGTCTCCTCCACATTGAATTAACTCACCTAAATCATCCCCGAGGATGTAAGGGATTGGGAATTTCCACCGATATCTATGGTCATTCAAGGCATTCCTTCCTTTCTGTAACATCAAAAGTCTGGTTTAAAAGTCACTATCATCAAGACAATTACACAATCAAAATCTATACAGTACTCATACAAAATATGGGGTGCCAAATGTAAAAATCTTGCAAAAAAAATGTCACTATCATGTTTTGTGATTTTGTTTACTTTCTTCACATTAAGTCCTTTTTTTCAATATTTTGTGGCAAATGCAAAAATATAAGTGTTACATTTCTTTAATTATATTCAAATCTTAAATTTATCAATCATCTGAGGGGCCCCGCCCACCTCCCCTTCT